AGCAGGAAAGAGCAGAGGGACACAGGCGTGGTCAGTTTGAAGGCTTTATTTAACTGTCATAAAAGGGGAAGCCGATGACAATTCCAACCTGTTAATCCGGGTCAGGGATTTACAGACAAGATGCACCAGATCCAATGAACAAAACCTAGCTCTAGAGGGAGGGGGAGGAGCTAGAGGCAGGAGACTGTAGCTACGAGAAAACCACACGTACTTGGTCCCAGTTCTGGTACAACCTCTGTGTTAAAGCACCCGGCGAGAGGTGCGAGCTGGAACGCGCCTGTCCAGTAGCCGGGGGGCACGAGCCCCCTGGCCACAGGGCCTGGGGGTGGTCGGGATGGAGACAGTGCTGCAAGGGGCCGGGGGGAGCTGCTCTGGGACACAGAGGGGAGCGGGGAAAGGAGTCTACTTGTCAAGGCAATAAATACTGACAGGCCAGGCACGAGTCTCAAAGGCAGAACAGATACGTAAGGCATTCACCACTCTGGAACCTGCGTCCATTGCAAGCTGGGGGCTCTCATGAGTTATGGAAGCAGCTGCAGAATGGGACGAGTCCATCTTCCAGCCTGGAACCAAACCAAGAGGGGCAGAGGCTGCTGGGGCATCTGAGCTCTGCAGCCCTTCCTGGCTGGAGTGGAAGTAGGAGGTGACAGCAGCACCAGCGCCTGTCCAGCTGCCCCTTCAGGCCCACCGAGGGGCTGGGGCTGCACCAGGCAGGGCAGGGCTGAGCAGAGCGCTGTGCTAGCAGGCCTGGGAGCCTCTGCCGGGCCATGCTCTGGACAACGTGGGGCAGCTGGCTGGGAGCATCTGGGACCTCCAACAGCCTCCCCCTCTTGGAGGGGATCTTAGGAGGAGAATGGGTCCAAGCCAGGAGCCACCTGAAGAGGGACTCGGGGCATGACGGGCAAGGGCATCATGCAGACAGACACTGGGGCAGGCGTTTAAAAAGTGTAACAAGAGCAGGACCCCCTCCCTTGAGGATGCACGTTACACATTAAGGCATCATGGTTGCAGGGGACAGCCACAGATGGAGCCACCGGCATCCTCAGGACGCAGCAGCGCAGGACGGGCAGGCCACAGACATGATTTTAGCTCACAGAGGGGTCAACGGCTGCTTGGCATCATGATTTCCTTGGCCACTGGGGAGGCACCAACAACCCTGGCCCATGAGTAGCAGCACTTGGAAAAGCCTCTTGCTCATGGGACGCAGGGGCCCTCCCTCCCCATCCGCACCTGCCTGGGGTTTGTCAGGAGCAGCAGCAGGGCGATGGGAGGGTGGGGAGCTCCCACCTCCGGCCTGGGGCAGAGACAGACATGGGGGCTGGTGGGTTCTGTTCAGCGGTTCTCTGGGGAGAGATCGGGACGGGGTAGGGCAGAGTGCTCTGGGCAACTTAAAAGGAGGGAGGGGCTCCGATGTCAGCACTTTGGTACAGGGGGGTTCTACCGTAGCCACGGTCTGATTGGCTCTGGGGTTGGCACGGGAGGCCTAGTCCTTCCAATCCTTCTTGATGGTCAGGTTCCACTCCCAGGACAGGTGGTCAGTCTTGTCATCGTCTGTGAACTTGGACTTGATGTTGTAGTTGCCCCGGGCCAGCATGCCCTTGGGCGCCTCCTCCATGGGGGTGAGGAACTCGTACTCCTCCCCACGGGGACCGTAGCTGCCCACCATGTACTCAGTCTTGTCAACTGGAAGGAGAGTGAATGGGAGGGGAGGGCTAAGAGCCTTCCCAGAGCCGACAAGGCAGCACCAAGTGGGCTCGACACCCCCGCTCCATGCTCACAGCAGTCCCGGCCCTCCCCCAGGAGCTGGCGGGACTCAGCAGAGAGCAAGGACAGCCCCACCGCATGCAGATGCCACCTCGTTCACCGCCACTCCACCCCTCGTGGCTGCTGGCCCCCATCAAGAGCCCACCATCTCCCGCCAGGCCCAGGCCAGTGACAGGCTCCCTCACCACCTGGTTCCACACCACGGCTTCATCTGCTCCAGGCCAAGAGGATGGAGCACAACTAGGGCTGGGAACACGCCCGAGACCCTTTCACAGCCCCTGGCTGTAGGCTGCCCTCAGCAGCTACCTCTCTTCACTATTTAAGGCTGGGGAAGCTGGAGAGGACACTTACTTTTCACCCCTTTCCTGAACGTGTGCTGGATGTACTTCAGCCCCGACACAATCTCCTTGTTCACCTGGAGATAGAGACGTGGACAGTGCAGCAGCAGGGCCTGGCCCTCCCCACCCTACGGGCACAGCCAGCTGCCCAGGCACAGGCCCTGCCCAGCAGTTCCTTACCCGGAAGGAGATTTTTATCCGGTACTCCACACCCTCCTTCAGCACAAATGACTGCTTCTTGTAGCTCTCCAGGTCAGCTGTGGGGTGGACAAAACGGCTCAGACCCTTTCACACTGCCTACAGGTCAGCTAGGAGCTGGGCGCCGTGCAGACTGAGCTACCGGCGGCCAGGAAGTAGTGGCAGAGCCTGGATTCCTGACCCATAAGGACCCCATGAGGCTCTCATCAGGGTGAGGGTGCCTGGGCACAGCTGGGAGATCCTGCACGGCTCTTCTTCCTCCAGACCTGCCTGCAGGGCTCAGGGGTGGAGTGGGCACTTGCAGAGTGGCTCAGCAGCTCCCCCAGCTGGTAACAAAGCCTCTGCAAGCCAGAGCCCTGCCCACCCCAGCAGCAGCCAGGTGGCTGGGAGTGCTCCAGAGCCCAGCCTTATGCTTCCCACCCACTACAGCAGCCCAGATGGGCAGGCAGGTAACAGCCAGGACTCCTGCAGACACATGCGTGGAGCCAGCCTGGCAACTCTCCCCTGGGAGGAACCTGAAGCACCACCTTCACTCACCTGTCAGGTCCAGCTCAAGAGGGCCAGGGGCACTGGCACAGACCAGTGTCAGTTTGGTCACCACCACATTGGGGACAGTGGGATCTAGGACAAAGGAGAAGCAATGAGCAGCTTCCTTGAGATGCCCGGGACACTGGGCCCCAGGAGCCGGTCCACCCATGCCCTCCCCACCAGGCCCTGGGAAAGCAGCTGCCACAAAATGGTCCATCTGCCGCAGAGTCCCCAGCACCCAGCCATCCTCTAACGCTGCCCCAGAGCCTCCCACCTCAGCAGCCTCAGGGTCTCCCACACAGCAGCAGCCCAAAAAAAAAGAGACCGATGTGGAAGTTTTGGTGACTGATTCCAGCCAGCCACCCAGCAGCACCCAGTCCTGTGGCCCAGGACACACCCAGGCTGTAGCAACATGCTCAAGCGCAGGACAGGGGTGGGGTGGTGCTGCGCTGTGCAGCACTGCCTGCTTGGCAGCTCTGATGGGGCCAGGGTGGGGCGCATGCATCCCACGGACCCACCCCAAGTCTCACCCATAGTGATGGTGACGGCAGAGCCCAGCAGGGCCTCCTTGTACTTGCGCAGGCTCTCGTCATCCTTGTCCAGCTCCTGGATCTCCTGGATGCTCTTCTGAGCAGGTGGCTTGTAGTTAACAGAGTGCTCGTCCTCCTCGTTCTCCGCAGCGATCTGGGCTAGCTGCTCCGCTGTTGGCTCCTGCTCCGCCATCTTTGCGCACGTGAGCTACACCTGGGGGAGGGCAGGAGCTCAGTGGTGCCACCTCCCAGCTGCTCTGGGCCATGGGAGGCTGGGGGGCTCTTCCCAGCACAGCCCATTTCCCCCTCCAGTGCCCAGCCTGTGGAGGGAGCTGTGGGAAGGCTCCCTGGGACAACACCCTGGCCCCCAGCAGCTGCATGGGACCCTCCTTCAGCACCAGGAACCAGTTGCAGGCAGCAGAGAGGACTGAGCTCTGCTGGCTCAGTTACCAGGACACTGGCCTGGCTGGACCCAGGCAGGGTGAACACCCCTCCCCATCACTACCACCACCGCTCCCCAAAATGGCTCAGCCGAGCCCCCAGGTCACTGCCTAGAACAGATGCCTGCACACAGGGCCATCCTGGGGGTGGGCACGCACGCGAATAGGGGCAACCACCCGGGGCCTGCACTTTGGGGAGCCCCGCAGAACCGGGCAGAGCGGCCACAGTGACTCCGCGCCACCGCCGGCTTTGTGTGCAGCCACTCACTACTCCCCGCCACCGCTGGCAGCTTCTTCAGGTGCGGGGCGCGTGGGATGGGAGCAGGGGCGGCGCCCCGCGTGGCTGATTTGCCTCAGGCCCCGCACCCTGCTTGGGTTGGCTCTGCCTGCGCAGCACAGGCCCTGGGCTCGCAGCCTCAGCCACCGCTGGTCCTTTGCCCCATCGGGCTGTCCCGAGCTGGGCGCTGGCTGTCCCCCCAGCAGAGCGCGGCACATGGCTCATCTGAGCTCACGCTGGCCTGTTCCAAAGGTCAAGTCAGGCCACCAACTGGCTGCAGCTCCTAGATTAGCAGCCCTGGCGTTGGGAGGCTTCACACACGACTCTGGTCAAACCAGTTTGCTGCTATACGCCCAGCCATGAGCTGCTGCCTCCCCACACCCCTGACCTTTCAGAGGCCCTGGAGAGACAGCAAGGGCAGCTTGGGCCAAGCCTGGCGCTACAGAAAAATGCGAAGCCCTGGAACTGCCAAAGGCCTCCCCGCTACTGACATCAGCTTCCTGCGTCCAACTCCCCAGCTCAGACCCAGCCGCTCCCCTCAGCGCTCCGGCCTCGCACCCGGCGCCGCCTACCAAAGCTCTGCGTAAACAGAGTCCGAGACATGATGGGATCTTGCTCACAGCACTCGGGGCCCCTGTCTGGAGAGCAAGGAGCATCGCGGCACTGCAACGGGAATGCCAGCCAGGCACGTTCCCCCCGCAGCCAGGCAGTGCAATGGATGTGGGCATAAACCCACTCCAATGCCAAGGTGCAGCCAGGGTGGGGGAGCAAGCAGGGAAACAGCCGGGGCACGCAGCAGCAAGGGGAGCCTGGTGCCAAGCCCAGCTGGGGTGCAGAGGCCTGCCTGGCACTGGCGGGACACTCTTCAAGCCCCCCCTGCAAGCTCACACCTGGGTTCCACAGGCCACAGGATCCGCCCAGGCCCCAGAGCTGCTCGTGCCTTGTTCCTGGCTGGCCCGTCTGGCTCCCGCTCCCAGCTCCAGGCACTCACACGCTAGTCACCAGCCTCGGCCTCTCGGCTAAACTGGACTGACTGGGCTCAGTCAAGCCTTTGCCAAGACTCCACACCTCTCCCCATGCTCAACACCCCCGACACCAGGCCTGGGGGTGGCTGCTCCAGGTCTCTCCCCACCACTGTGCACAAGGACCAGTCACCCTTTCTCCCCCTTCCTACAGCCACATCAGCCCTTTCTGGCCCAACACTGGGGGCTTGCACGGAGCTGCTTCTCTGTAGGACCCTTCCCCGGGTCCTCGCTGTCCAACACACCGTGCCCCTGCAGGCTCAGCTGTGCTCCCGGCCCCAGCACCAGATCTCGCATCTAGGCTCTGCCAGTGCTCGAAGGTGCCGGGCAGGCCGAGCCATCGTGATTGCTCTGCACAGTGTCACAACCCAAAGTTGTGATTTTCTTGTTTGTGTGTGCTTCGGCATCGCTAAATTGTGTTCCCGCTAAATTGCGGCTCTTTTGCACGGTGGAGCGTTCTGTTGCAATTAAGAACCCGCGTGCAGGAGCTTTTCCTGCCAGTTGTGTAGCCTTCTTTGCATCGTGCATTTCTTTTGCATTATAGTGATGCACAGCACAAAGAAGTTCCCGCTACTTGTATTGAGATTTCCGCCACATTATTGGCCAATCTTAATACAGGCACACATGGCAGCTAGCTATTGGCTTGCTAGCCGTACAAAAGGCTTGGGTAGTTTCCGCCCAAGTCGGAGAGAGAGAAAGCACGTGGAGTTCGGGAAAGGAGCGTGAGGATCTCTAAGCGCTGCTGATCCCTTCGAACCCAGCTTTTTCCTTAAGAGGGCAACAGAGGTTTAATTTGTCGAACCCACGGAGCTTCAACAACTCCACGGGACCTAATTTCCGAACCCTCGGAGCCTTAACAACTCCAAGGCACATTCCCTCTAGCCCCTCCCCGTCGCCGATCGCAGTCCAGACGTATCCCTGTCCTATGGACCCAATTGTCGAACCCACGGAGTCTTAACAGCTCCGGGGGACCTGGGAACCGAGTGAAACCCGCGGAGATTCAGCTGCTCCGTGAGAGAGAATTGTTAAACCCGCGGAGCTTAAACCACTCCGGGGTCAGGAACCGAGTCTATCAGAGTCCTCCACCGAGAACTCAAGCAGAGCTGTGCCTGGAAAGCTGACCAGCCTACACCGCGACCACCTTGGGTGCAAGTAAATAATCTTTTCAATCAACCATTATGACTCCGTGACTGATGCTAGCTCGAGCGTACCATACCGCGCCGCGGTTTTCCCCGGCCCCGCGTGCCCGGGCTGCTGGCCACAGCCTGTGTGCACAAAGACGGGCCCGGCTCGCCCCCAAGATTGGGAGCCGGCCCGCGCACACAGCAGCTTGCTGTTCACCAGGCAGCCCTCCCGCCCACAGCTCCTGGCAGCAGAGATTACACATGTGCTTCCAGAGAGCTGGTGCAGTTAATCACAGTGGGAACAGACCTCAGCTCTTATCCCTGCTAATGTGCATGGGAAACGTGCCCAGCTGCCAGGGCTTCCCCATGGACAAGCACTCCCAGCCCCCAGCCAAGCTCTGGCCAGGCCAGCTGCGCTGCTGGAGGCAGACGGTGCCTCCCTTACTGGGGTGACATCTGCTCTGCAACCTCCTCCACCTGACTGCAATGCCAGGCCCTAGGGTAGGCCAAGGACCCCTCCCAGCTGCCGCCCTGCTGCCCCTGCACAGACACGGCCGCCACTCGCCTCCAGGCGAAGCACTCTCCACACCAGAGATGAGCTCCAAGGGGCAGGAGGAGCCTTAACCAGGGCAGAAAGGGATGTATGGCTCCCAGCAGCCCCGGGCTCCAGCCAGTGCAGAGCACCTGGCAAGCCAGCAGCCCCGTAGGCCAAGCCAGCGCAGGCTGCAGCACTGGGCACAGGGAGCTGGCGGGACACAGCCTGGGTGTGGCCACGTTTTGGCCGTTACTGGGGAGCAGCTTCCTGTGAAGGGCCAAGCCCTTATGTCCAGCATCAGGTAACCACCAGCCCCAGCACTGCCCGCTCCAAAGCAAGCCTGGTGGCCCCCAGCACCACGCTGCACACGGCTGGGACTCCTGTGGGTACCACGGGCCCCAGCAGCCCCCTGCCAGCACTGACAGTGAGGACAACTCCAGGCCCAGCAAGTTGTAGCTCAGGGAAGGACACCTCAGTGCCGGGTCCTGGGGGCTGCCCACCCCCCGGCAGGGCACTGAAAGTAGAGTGCTGCCGCGCAGGCGGAGGGCAAGGAACTCACTCGGGCCTGGGCTGGCGGTGCTGGGAGGGGCCATGTGTGCCCAGCCGGATAGAGGGGCCCAAGGCTCAGCACAGCCCACCCACCCACCCACCCACCCCGGAGGCTCCCGCTGCCACCTCCTGCCCTGCCCACGCCCAGCAGCTCGTTCCAGCGCGCCGCCCCCCCCGCCCCGGTCACACACCCCC